AAATCCTAATATTCCCAGAATATTTAAGATTTTCTAAAACATAATAAATCCAAGTGAACAACTGTAACAGACAAGACGTTGGATAAACTGGATAGGACATCATGTCCAACATGTTCCTCCTGCATGTTTAGAACATTTTATATAACATGTTTAGGCTAAGTTAATTTTACCAAACATAAAACCAATCACAAAAATTAGAGAATTAACAATAATCATGTATGCATCCACTATGGAAGGACTAATCACACTATTGAGACATGTTTTCTCAAACATAGATATCCACTTGGATTCAAGAGCAAAGGTAAATCTACCAATTATGTTTCTCAATATATTGCCTCTGTTGAAATAGGTCAGGAATCTTCTCAACATAATTCATCTTATTCCTCTTTTGAATTCACTCAAGAGCAATATCATAACATCTTAGAACTTATCCAACAGTCAAAAACCAACTCCAAAGCTAATTCCATCTCTACCTCACCATTTGTCTTAAACTCACATTCTTACAATGAAAATGGTAAGAATGCTTATCTCTGCATCCTTAATACAACTGCCAGTAACCAAATTGATTTTGATCTAGTTGTTTTTCTTTCAAATACATCCATTATACCTATTCATGTTAGTTTACCGGGCTCTCCCTTATTAAACGATTTTCCGGACAATTTTCCTTTATCCAATGAATCTCTTTCTAGTATCCCTCATGTATCAAATGGTCATAGTATTACTCCTATCATAGTCAAATCCTCTCATCCTCCTCTTAGACATTCTACTCAAACTTCTAATCCCCCAAGCTACTTGGTATATTATCACTGTTACCACGCTCTTAATACATCTCAAAATTCAGCTATGCCTCACTCTTACACTCAACACACTCCATATCCTCTTTCTTCTGTCCTTTCTTATGAAAAATGTTCATCATCTTACAAGCATTTTTTCTATCTCATCCATTTCTTAACCTACAACTTACAACCAAGCTGTTAAACATGAATGTGGGATTAATGCCATGGATAAGTTAAAAGCTCTTGCATAGAACCAAACTTGGATTGTGGTTGATTTTCCTTCTAGGAAGATTCCTATTGGATGTAGATGGTTTTATAAAGTCAAGCATAAAGTAGATGAATCTATTGAAATATATAAATCTAGGTTGGTGGCAAAATGCTTTACTCAAATGGACTATATTGACTACTTTGACACATTCTCCCATGTTGCTAAACTCACGACTGTTAGAGTATTACTTTCACTTGCAGCCATTAAGAGATGTCATTTGGAACAATTGGATTTTAATAATGCTTTTTTACACTGGGACTTACATGAAGAGGTATATATGAACTTTCCACATGGCTTATCAGGTTTCCATCCATCCAAAGTTTGTAGACTGCAAAAGTCATTGTATGGATTAAAACAAGCCAGTAAACAGTGGTACTCCAAATTATATGTTTTCTTAATCTCCCTTGGTTATCCTCAATTTTTGGCTGATTACTCCTTGTATGTTAAGAGTGATTCACAATATTTCACTGTCGTACTGGTTTATATTGATAATATAGTATTAGTAGGAAATTCTTTAGTTGAGATTCAACTTGTCAAACACCTTTTAGATCAACAATTCAAGATCAAAGATCTTGGACAATTGAGATGCTTTTTCGGATTTGAGATTTCTAGATCCAAAGAAGGTATTTTTTTTAAATAAAAGGAAGTACACTCTTGAACTTTTGCAGGATGCTTGTGTTCTTACTGCTAAACCCTCCTCAGTTCCCTTTAATCTGAATACCAAACTTTCTATCCATAAGGGTGCCTTATTGGTCACTTGATATACTTGATAACTCCAGACATGATATTTCCTTTTCAATTCAACATTTGAGTCAATTCATGTCTCTGCCTCGTTTACCTTATTTTTAGTCTACAACTCGTTTTTTAAGATATCTGAAATTTGTTCCTGCTACATGTTTACTTTTTCCTGCATCTAGTTCATTGAAATTGTTGAGTTTTGCTGATTCAGATTGGGCTCGATGCCCTGACACTAGAAAATATATCATTGGATATTGTGTAATTCTAGGCTCATCTCTTTTGTATTGGAAGTCTAAAAAGCAGCACACTATTTCCAGGTCCTCCATAGAGGCAGAATACCAGACATTAACTTCCATCAATCCGAAATTCAATGGTTACAATACTTATTTCGCGACCTTCTCATTGAATTTTCACAGTCTGCTTCTATTTTTTATGACATCAAATCTGCTATTTACCTGACTCACAATCCCACTTTTCACGAACGCAGCAAGCATATTAAACTGGATTGTCATGTTGTGCACGAGAAAATTCAGTCCAAACTCATTCATTTACTTCCCATTTGAACTCATGTTCAACTGGCTGATATGCTAACCAAGCCTCTTAATTCTCTTGCCTTGAATACTACTTTGGTCAAGTTGGGACTTTGTAGTATCCAAAGTCCAATTTATGAGGGGTTGTTAGCAGAGCATACTCTATTGTATCACATTTTATTCATTCCTTGTATTGTTGCATTAGCCTCTAATAGAGTGTCACATAGGTAGTGCAATAGCTATTATTATCCACACATTTTTAGCTTATCTAGTTCATATATATATATATATATATATATATATATATATATATATATATATATATATATATATATATATATATATATATATATATATATATATATATATATATATATATATATATATATATATATATATAGTCAGTTGTAATGTATTCCAAGAATTATGTTATTGCTTAACCATTTCCTATAAAAAAATTTCCCTTGTTGCGTCTTCTTCTTCGTCTTCCAATGTATCACCAAGGTGAATTGCTCACCATTAACACTAGTATTGTCTACAGGGGCGGACACACGTGTAGGCATGATCTAGCTATAGCCACACTAGAATTTTTTTAATTTTATAGTCACATACTCCGCTCACATAATTCCAAGGAATAACTCTTTTCCTTTTACTATTTAGTAGCTTCATGGAAACTTAGTTAGAAACTTATTTAAGCTAACCATAGTACCCCACATTTGTATTTATTATATTGATAGAAACTATTAACCATGAATATATATATATATATATATATATATATATATATATATATATATATATATATATATATATATCTTAAAATTTTCTTTTTCTCTTCCTCTCAAACTCCATCATATCTCATACTTGTCTCTTCTTCTCATATTTGTTAATCCAATATTTCTTTTTATTTTTTCTTCAATTTTCTCACTTGGCTTGACTGTAATTTTTTATGAGTGGTTGAAAATCAAAGGTAAAGTGAGTATTTTAATTTTTTCTTATTCTATTCTCCTTTTTTATTTGAACCCTAAAACCCCAATTTATTAAAAAAAATTAATTTTTTAATTTATCATTAATTATTTTCTTTATAATCAATTGATTTTATTGTTTTCTTTATAGTATGAATAACTATTTTAAATGGTTTTATTGTTCTCTTTATAGGAGTAAGAAAGTTTTTTCATGTGCTTTCTAAAGACAAAACTACTTCTTCGACTAATCTAAGAGCATCGGAAACTCAACATCCAAATAATATGGATACACCATATGTGCAAGGGAAGAAACTTAGACGACATGCTACAACTTTCAGTGTTTCTAATTTACATCATTATAAGGTTTAGATTGGCAGTTGTATAAGTTCAATGTTAGATTTAATGGAGAGAATACTAAACTTCTACAATGTATTTCATGTTTGAGTCTCTGATCGTCATTTGTAGTTTTTGATGGTTGAACTTTATCCAAATTATTTTATAGATGTGCCAGAAGTGGCAGTGCGACACATCAAACATTTCTAACATAATTCTGAAGATGATGTCGTACTGTCACTTCTGGCACTTCTGTGTGGCAGTACGACACTTTCGGATCTTTGTGCAAAACTTATGGAAACAAGTAAGTGCAACACATTGGATATACTTTATAAGCTTCTGAAGTCGACTTTAGTCTTGTCGATAGCAATTGTAAGTGTGATACGTGTTTTTTTGAGTTATGAAGTTTTTGAAGAGTCAGTTATGTAACAAAATGAGTGATCAATGGTTAAATGACCGTCTTGTAACTTTTATAGAAAGAGATATCCTTAGAATAATTAACAATGATATTATTTTAACTCATTTTCAAGAAATGGATAGTAGACGATTTTTATTATAAATATATTTCATTAAACAATATCATTTCTTATTTTCAATATAATTTAATTTATACTTTATTTCTTTTATGTTTAATCACATCAATATATAATGTCTCAATCTACCTTGATTGTCTATAATGAAAATTTTGATGTTTTAGATCTTAGCCTATGACGAACCTATTATAATGTCTCTTGAATCTGAAATTTGTAACACCATAATTTAAAGATTATTGTTGAACTTAATTTTATATAAATAAATATATCCGAACATAGTTGATGTGAAATCGCTTGGGTTGAAGTTACTTTTTCAAACTTGAGAAACAAAGTTGGAAACTTGACATTAAGAAAGATAAATGAACTATATTAAATTTAATTGTTATAATCAATATTAAACTAAACTTAATTTTGTCATAATTGGAGAACATCCATATAAAAAATGGATACAGTACAAGTAAAGAAATACAGAAAGTAACGTGCCTCTGACCTCATAAATAAATAAAAAAACACAGTCGGATCAATTTTCTTTTGTTGGAGAGAAGAGAACAGATGTCAGATTCCTCTCACGGAAAAAATAGCGTTTTGTTGAGAGTCATTGAATTTTTTCAATAATGAAAGCTACACTACACACTACTCTCCTCCTCTCCTTCTCTGCAATATTTACTCTCTCCGTATTTATCTGACGTCTTTCACATGACTACCCTGCAACCAAGCTAATAGACAAAACACACCATACTCTTCCATTATTCAATTCTATTTACTAACAAAACCCTCTCTTTTTCACTATTGCATTCATATTTTATTTTTACCCTTTTTCTTCTCTTAATCATTTTACTATACTGGCTCTCCCAACTATGGAAGCTTTTACCTTACTCAAATACTGGCGAGGTGCTGGTCTTGTTGGTCTCTCACCGTCCCCTGAAACCACCACCACCACCATCCTCTCTGCCGTATCTGACAGCGAAGATGATGACAACAACAACGACGAAGACGAAGGTCCTTTTTTCGACTTAGAGTTTACTGCACCAGACGAAGAACAAGTACATGTTTATGAAGAAACAAACCATAACAACCAACAACAAGAGTCTGATAACGGTGGTAATGAAACTGAAACTGAGACTGAGTTTAATATAACACTTTCTCCTTCTAGTAACGAACGAAACGATGCAAATCTTCCTCTGTCACCTTCGGAGGATATACAGATACTTGAGTTGAAACCTTCTTTCGTTCTCAACAACCCTTCTGAACCTAACTCCAAACCACAGTTCACTGCTTCATTGCTTAAATCCGCAACCAAGTTTCGTGTCTTCATGTCTGGACTTAAGAAACCCAAAAACGAAACGAAACAAAAACCAAATAGAATCAAATTCAAAATTGAAGAAGTTCCTATTGTTTCACTTTTCACCAGAGACAACAGTTCCAAAGGAAACATCAACAACAACAACAACAAATCTCAAACAAACCAAAACCAAAACCAGAACCTGAACCTAAAACTAGAACATGTGGCATTATCACCTTTGGAAGAAAAACGTTTCTCAAAGGAAGTAGTAATGCACAAGTATTTAAAAATGGTGAAGCCTTTATACATTAGAGTTTCTCGTAGGTACAGTCATGGTGAAAAAGAAGAGAAGTTTGGTTCTGCTTCTACGGACAACAAGGTTGAAGCGGAAGTAGCAACGGAAGGGGAAACCGTTGCTGAAAGTGAACAAATCGATGCAAAGTGTACTCAGACTCAGAATCAGAGCCAGAAACAGGGGAATATTCCGGCAGGGCTTAGAGTTGTGTACAAACATTTAGGAAAAAGCCGTTCAGCATCGTCGGCGGTGGCAGCTTCACCGCCGGCGTTAGTGTCGTCTAAACGCCGTGATGATTCACTGTTACAGCAACAAGATGGGATTCAAGGAGCCATTCTACACTGCAAGAGGTCCTTCAATGCCTCCAGAGGTAAATAAAACAGATTTGTTCTTTTTTTTTTTTTGAATTTTTTTAATGATTTTAATTATTATTTATCAATAATCAGAATAAAGATTTTAAGATATTTTTTATTTTTGTTGAAATATAGAGTGTGAATCTTCATCTCAACTACCACGTTCTGTGAGTGATCTATTACAGGAGATATCTTCAGAATTGTCAAGGAAATCTAGTGACAAAAGTCTTTCAGGTTTAAGATAAAGAAAATGTGATAGCTTTTAGCATTTTCTTTATAAGATTTTAGATTTAATTTTTGCACTAGATAGTGGAGAGAAATAGTCAAAGTAGAGAGTTATGGGCATGTAGCATGAAGAAAAAGCTCTTTTCTTTTGTTGAATGCTTCTTTTTTAGTTTAACTTGGTAGTGTAAATTGTAAAGCTCTTCTTTTCAATAAAGTGAAGGAAGAATCATGTATGTAATGTAATTTAATTTTAATGTACTGTTCCTATTCTTCTTTTGGTTTTTGCTTATCTATGTGTGGTGTAGTTTGCTATAGCCAAGATCCAATAGTACATAACAAACCATAAGTAGAAATTGTTTTGGTAGCATTCTATTCATTGAGGTCATATGTTTTTTATTAGGTTTATTGGTTTTTTTTAGGACTTTGTTAGTTGGTTAAGGTGTTGGCAGAAAGAAACAAGATAATGGAGAAAATTTTGTTCAAGTAGTAAATAATACTAATAAGGTTTGGTGTTGATTTGATAAAGTTGAAACTTTTTATTAACTATGTGAAGAATCATAGTTACTTGAGAGAAAGTGAAAATGTGGTCAGAGAAGTGGGAAAGAAAGATGGAGACATGAGCAGTGAAAGTGTGATTTTCTTTTTGGATAGATGATAGAGAGAAAAAAAGTGTATTTGAACAAAGAGGGTTGAAATGGAATTTCACATTGAGAGTGGAAAGTGCAAGAGTGCAATCACATGTGTCATTGGTGAAAGTGAAACAATGTTGTTTTTCTTTTTTTCTTTCTTTGATTAATCTATTATTAATTTCGGTGCATTGATACTTCATGCATGAAACAATGTAAGATATTCAAATTGTCTTTTTGTGTCACATTTGGACTTGGTCCCACAAAATTACACGTTGTTTTTTTGGCCCATTATTTGAAATTTCGACCTAGTTGAAAACCCATTCATGATTGAAACAAGATTAATTATACAATAAATCCAGAATATGTTACTTCATAGCTTCTTAAAGTGAAGCACCTGTGTTACTTCATAGAGTCAAGGTTTCTCATACACTCAAAAGTTGATCAGTCAACTCACCTCCTAATTCCAAAAATCTATAATTAGGGTTTTGAATTTCTCAAAGAAATTTAGATTGCAAAGGTCTCAAGTGGCTTCTATGGTTCTTCATAGGTCCTCAGCAAAGTTCATGTCAAGTTTCAAGCTCTACATCAAAAGTTTGCTCAGTCAATGACTCGGATGATTGAAAATCAACTATATTGGTCAAAAAGTCAACTGTGGTCAACATATAGTCAAACTTCAAGATTTTTGATCAACGTCAACATTTTGAAGTGATATTCATCATTTGATCAATGGTTGATCATGATTCCCCAAGGAAAGCTCTCAAATTATCAAAAGTCACGAATTGTCAAATTAGGGTTTCCTTATGAGAAGTCAACTGAACTTTGACCAGACATAACTTTCACATGCTTCATCAAATTTTCCCCAACCAAAGCCTATTTTGAAGAAAATTCAATTCTCTACAACTTTGCTTCTATTCTCAAGTCCAAAAACTGCTTCATTTGGAAGATATGAGCTAATACATTATAAGTCATTTTCAAAAGTCAACAAAAGACACTGTTTGTTAAGAAAACTTACATCAAGATAATGTCTCCAAAAGCAAAAATGGTCAACATAGAGGTTGTAGAGGACATATTGAGCTTTTCAAAAAAGTTCAAGATCACCTTCAAAAGATGAAAATTGAGCAAGTTATGAGTTGCACAAGTTGAGAGATTTTGGAGAAATTCATGAAGTTCAAATTGAGCAATTTTGAATCTTCGAACCAATGGGACTAATTTTTGAGACTCAAACGTGTTCATGATATGTTAGAGGACCCTTAAAACCATTCCCTTATTTTTCATGATTTTTATTTATTTTATTTGAATTTTTATTCATTTAAAACAAATTAAATCAAAATAAAAAAGTGAGGCTAATGAGCTTAGGCGCATGATTGGATTTATGGGTCAAGATTGAAGCCCAAATATTCAAGCAAGCCAGCAATGTCTCTAGATTCATGCAAAAAAAAAGAAAATTTCAAGAATGCTATAAAGTTTGGCAAGTTTTCAAATTTTGATTCTTGTCTTAAAACATGGTTAAAAGCTACAAAGTTTGGCAAATTTTCAAATTTTGATTCTTGTCTTAAAACATGGTTAAATGTTTGATTCATTTCCATCTTTGCTAGTCCATTCACTCTCTATATAAATACTCAAGCAATGCAAGCTCAAGGGACCACGAAATTCTAGCATACCAAAACCATTTCAAAATCTCCAAAAAATCATATACATAGAAGCTAGCAAAATTCTCAAAAAATTCTCAAGAACCTTCGTGCTTCAAAGCTCTGTCTGCAGGCCTTCTCATCCCATAAATCTATCCTTATCCTATCCCTGAACATGAAAGGGTGAGTTTGGACCAGTTACCATGGTCCAAAACACATGATAAAGGCATATCATACATTTTCGATCGCATAACGTTTTGAGATTCATGTTCTTTTGTTTTACTTTATTTTGAGCTTAATGATTATTATTAACGTGTTTTTGAGTACTTGATGAACAGGTTCTAACCATTGATACACTTTCATGCACGCGGATCCGATGTATATCATTTTCCCTCTGATCTGTGCATTTTGATCCAAAGCGCATGATTCAAGAACTTTTAGCCCATAACTTTTTTTCGTTTTATTATTTATTTTTGTTTTAATTCATTTCTTTCTTTTTCTTTTTAATTACTTTTTTTTAATAAAATCATAAAATCAAATTAAAAAATTGGATTTAGGATTTAATTAATTAGCTTTATTTTTACAATAAAATTAATTAATTTAATCATTTTTGAGTTTATTTTGTTAATTAAAATTGGTTAGAATTAGGTTTATTATCATAAAACTTTTTCCTAATTAAAAACAACAAAAAAACATTTTTCTACTTATAATTTTTTAAGATTTTAGATATTTCCTCTTTTTCATTCTCCGCGCATTTGTTTACTTTTTTCGCATTATTTTCATGAATAGTTGTAACTGCTCAAAGGGATGTAATAGTTTAATTTAGAACATTTACATTTTTTTCCTATTTTGGTTTGTATTTTCTCCATCCCAAAGCGATGTAATAGCGTAGTTTAATTTCCATATTTTTATTTTTCTGCACTTGTATGTATTTAACTGCTAGATGTATGCTAATAGGATTGCATGACAGGATTAAAAGCAATTTGTAGAAAATCTAACATCCAAGATAAGCATAGCTGAAACACAACATACTTCACAAACGCGCACCTCTAAGGTACTTCCACTTGTTGCCTTCGGAAAACAAACAGTCACGTCCCTCGAACGTGGAAAACTTTAGCAAAGTCCCTCGATACAAAGATCATAGTCCCTCGATGACCCTTCGATGTTGCCTTTCAGTAAATGATCTAGTCCCTTACAATAAATTGCTAAAGTGTCCTATAAGTTTCCTTTATGACTGCACGATGAACCGCGCTTGTCCCTCAAACATCCAATGATAAGGCTACCCACCAACTAATGGTGGGATAGCACTATCTAAAGGAAAAAAGGAAAAGAACAAAGATCTTTCGAGTAGGTAGACAACTTGTAGTTGCTTGCTCACAAAACAAATTTCTCACACATACACTCTATTTTTTCTAAATATTTTCAAAGACAAAAAACACTTTGTATGCATTCTCAACGACATGATAATCATTACAAAGTTCACCGTACTAAGGCGTCTTTTCAAAAATATTTTCAAATACACTTACACCAAAAAGTATTTTCAAAGTGATCTAGCAACTAAGAGCCCGTAGATAACTACGGATGGAAAGGGTGCTAACACCTTCCCTTTCCATAATCTATCCCCCGAACTCAAAATCTTTAAAATGGTCTTTCCTATTCTTTTCACCCTTTTCTTTGTTGGATAAAATGAAAATCGGTGACGACTCTTGCTAACCGCAACATTTGCGATAAAATGCAAAACCTGTAAAGTCAATTATCCCACCATATTACAGAACTGGCGACTCTGCTGGGAAAAATCTAAAAGTGGGGTTACCTTAGAGATAGGTCATATTTTAAATGCTTTCCTTGTTTGACTTGCTTGATTTATTCTTGAAGGGTTGTTTGAGTATTCTTGTAATGGTCCTATACCCGGACCTGGGGCATTTTAGGTAAGTAGAAATATATCATAGAAACTGTATGGAATAGACTGATATGGTTGAAACGATAGCTACGTTAGTGTGACACATTTGTAGGTATCGGTGTCCCTTGAGTTGAATCAAGGAGAATACGGGGCCGCTGAGTGGTGTCATGAAGCACTAACTGACCGTAGAACCTTAGTTGAAACAACTTGGCCATTAGAAAGTAGTGAGATAGCCGGCTTCGGTGAAAAACTGAAGATTGGTTGATACTCGATACTACACTCATTGAGATCGGACTTTCAGGATATTTCGGCCGCGAGAAAATATCGCTTGAGCTGAAACAATTCCCGATAAAGAAAGATCAATGATATTGAGATTCCTTAGAACCTGATTACTTCTTTTAGGACAGGTTGAACCAACTAAACTTCAAGAGGGTACTTACCTACAAACTCCATGCAAGCTTAAACCTAAGGCTTTGTGTGTTTTGCTTGTGTATGATTAATTGTTCGAACATAACATCATAACATCATGACATCATTACACATATCATTTTCTTAACCATTTCAAGGATCTCAAGAACCTGCGATGCAGGTTATGATGAACCAGACGTATAGCAAGGGGCAATGGGATTTATTTTCGTCTAGCCAATGTCGTCAAAGCATGATGTCTTGAGTCAGTAGCTAAGACCCACTCGACATGGTGAGCTTGATTCTCGTAGAAGGACGTTCAACGATACGAAGCTCTTCGAATTGAAGCTGCAGTCAAAATTGAACTTCTAACATTTTCTTTTATTTATCCCGTGAGATCCTTGAAAACATTGCATCCACATATCATGTATTTCATTACATAATCAAATATTCTCAAG